GTTCGCTGATTTTCTGTCGGCTCAACTTTCTGTGTCTCCACGAAGTGTATACTGTCAAGTTTCTACAGATGAGTGTGACTCACAAGTTAAAAATTCATTTCGAAAACCTGTGCTGTGCACGCGGCACCTGAGTGTTTATAAACAGTTTTGTGGAACTAATCCTGTTCGGATTGTTCGCTGATTTTGCGATTCGTGCGCCTTTTTTTCGTGGTTTCAATCCCCGCTGTGTATCATCATTTACACCGATTTTTTACGAATTCCAAATGAATAGTTTCCTATGCCGTGATATCTGCCTAATGTAAGTACTTACTTTCTCCAAAAACTATCTTTTTTGGGTCTCTAAATTCATTTCTGGCACCAATCAACTCGCGTATTATGCATCAGGCCCTTGCCTCGTTTTTCATCTCCCTGAGCTCTAGGTCTGTGTGCATTCGAGAATCGCATTATGCAAAGTTTCTCCGCATTTTCGTGACAGGCAATTGCATGCATAAATGAGATCGCATAACCTCGTATTCGTATCGTTTGAATTTGTATCAACGTATTAAAGTTCTCGCGCTCACTTCTGAATATATCTGAAAACGGGAGTGAGAAATCAAGTTCGCCTTCAACTCGATGGATACAATTTGCGCGGCTCAGGAGTTGAAATAGTTGTATCACGCAGTTTGGTGAAGCGCGATGGTCGAAAGGCGAGTGACTTCAGTTGTAATCTTCGTGTCTTTTATCCTCCTTCGTGTACCTTTTACTCGATTCTCCGCGCAGAAATATGTTTTATTTTTAACTTTGAGAAGAGTCTAGCGAAGTAAGTAATTGGCAACACCTCAGATAAAGTGTTGCGTAATTCTATCAATTGCTTCGCATTTGTTGCGATATAGCTCAGCATTTTGACCCATGGATTGTGACACTGTATGAAGTTTCTGTATCTCTTGCCTTAGCTTGATTTAGTATTGCATGTCAAGACCTATATTCAAGCCCGTTATGAAAATAAAAATGATTTTTATTGACCAAATTCAAATGAAAGTCCGCAAAATGGTACTAAGGCGGTTTTATTAGATGATCTGTAATATATTTATTGAAGCCATTTTGTCACTCGTCGAAGTATACTTCGTGAATCTATTAATAATCGATTTTGGTAACTGCTTGTTGTTGAAATAGTTTGACGCGAATTTTCCCACCTTTAGGACAAATCAATCAGAAAATTGGGTCTTAAATCCATCTCTCAAGGTGAGACAACGAACAATGGGCATGCTGAGTTAAGAGCCGTCCGCTTCAACTCTGAGAATGTGTGATACTCAAGTTTCACTTGACTTTTTCTCACATCCCGACATGCAACCTCCGAATGAAAAGCGAGTGCATGCATTCACATTGTGCATGTTTGATATTTCCTTTTTTCGCTGTTTCATCCTTTTTGTGTTCACTCTTCCTGTCTCTGAAACTATTTGGCTCTCGGGGTGGTGCGCCCGCAGAGACAAGAGACCCTCCACTAGTATCTTGGCCATGGTGGAAGCTTTTACTTTCGAGACTTCAGCATTCTACTGTTGACTTACCTACATGGTTGATGTTCAACAACGTGTTGGCAGTTTCGTTTTGCAAACAAGCCGAAAATGGCCGACGTTTGGGAAAGTTGTTTGGCTCATGACGTCATCCGAAGCTCATCATCGACCATGTAGGTAAGTCAACAGCCGAAAATAGGGTGATGACTGTTGCTCGCTAATAATTGTCCATAAGGAATTGTTGAAACCCCGAAAGTAAAAGCTTCCACCTGTCGCTAGGAGGCCAGTGGAGGGTCTCTTGTCTCTGTGCGCCCGGGTGGCCACGATCAGAAGAGGGGAGAGAGGGGAGGTCAGGGAAATTGAATAGGTCGCGGAAAAATGAGGGGAAAATAATAAAATTAATCGAAAGTCATGGAAAATTTTGAGTGCTGAAGTGGCGCATTAACTTTCGTGTTACGTTTATGGCTCTGGTTTTTCTTTTAGGCGGACTTGAAAGACTCAAAATCGTCATTTTTTTGTCCCAAATTGTTTGAAAATCCAGAGAATTTTCACGAAATTGGTTCGGGAAACCTTGGCAAAGGCCAAGAGTTCCGATTCCTAAGTTGCTGGGATGGTTCTTCATACCCTAAAGGTTGGGTACTTCAGAAACTGGATTCTCCATGAGTGGGAAACGGATTACAAGCCAAAAGCTCCAAGGATTCAGATTGATTTTACCAAAAGAATTCAGAAGCTCATTTTTCCCCATTAAAATAAATGTCCTAAAATTTTGAAATCATCTGCCCGTCACGTGGATAGATATATGCTCATCATCTTAAATCTGTCTTTCCATCCTGAATCCTAAATTCGGATCGGAAATCCCAGCGCGTGAGATGGAAGCAGAAAGGGACCGGTTGCCGAAGGTTCATCTGTTCCGTGAACCTTGAACCCTTAATCACCCTTAACCTTTGATAATCTGCTCGTGAGTTTCTAACCCGCAGATCTCACCGGTTTCTTAAGGCGCAGGCGCTCCTGCCCTCTTCACGAAACGGACGAGATACTCAGAAACTGAAATTACTGTTGACCTCTTTTTGGGTACAAGGTACGCGTTCGCTCTACCTACGTTTATTTTTTTCGTTTTTTTATTTTATTCCCTCACGAGTGAGGAACAGCTACTCTGTGATAACCTGTGCCCAAAAGCGCGGAGTTATCGACAAAACAGCCGCCGAAATTGAGATTTCGGGTTGTTTTTGACCTCGATGGTTAATTTTTGGAACTCTTTCTTCGAGTTTCCTTTCGCAGCTCATTATATTCTTCCTCCTTTTCCTCTTCTCCTGAACTGTAATCAACTGATCTGAAATTTTTAGAGCCTTTCTAAGGTGGTCCATATTTTTTTAACCTCTCGATAACTATTTTCTGAGACCCACAGATAAGGAAATTATCATGTATCCTCTCCTGCTCAAAAAAACTACTGTGTTTGCTCAAACATCTGTGGTCGGTGTGTCATTTCATGGTAGAAAATGGCACAAGAAAAATTACTCTCCTCAAATGGTTTGAGCAGGATTGCCACAGTCAGAGAAAACCGGGAAATGTCAGGGAATTTTACAAAGTCAGGGAAAAAAACTAAAATGTCTTCCTTTCTAGAATAGGTTTGACTTTTCGAACAACAAATTGTGCCTGTAAACTATTTCAAATCATGTCTTTTTAAGCATCTGGCAAATCCTCAATTGTCAGGGAATTTCACCAAAGTACGACAGCAAAATCAGGGAAATGTCATGGAAATTCATTTTCTAAATTCTGTGGTAACCCCTTATGAGAGTATGCGTTATGTTGTATTTCTTGTAGGGTAGGATGACCATTGGCTATACTTTGTAAGGCATAGTAACCACGGTACTTACTTTCAGTCTGTAGATACTGTTACCCTGAATTGTTTACCGTGAATAATTTAATTTTGCACGGATAGCAGTGAAGGCAGATCTTCGTTTCACCGGCGGCTCAAACTTACTTATTTTACAAACGAGAGAGGAAAATAGAGCTATTCTTATCATTTATCAGAAACTAAAGGTCAAATGGAGTGGTTCGATCTGCTTTGTTTTTGCGCCACTCAGAGCGCAGACCGTGTTTGAAGGAGTGTGCGTTGTGCGATACTCTGCCGTGCCAAGGAAAAACACCGTATGAATATTTAGACGCCGCCAAATATTCCCCCGTTGAGAAATGTATTTTTGAGAAAAGTTATGAATAATTTCCCTTGAAATTTTCCAAGGTCCCAGATTCAACCGATAATAAAATTTGCCGTAAAATTGGGAGAAAAGTATCCACAAGTTTTCCCAAAAATTCCACCCTCTCAAAGTCAATTTGGCAACGTTTGAAGGCTCATACGATGTTCTTCCTTAGCATGACAGTATGTTGTTCTGTGCCCGATTTCAAGTTGCCCTGTGGTGAAATCAATTAAAAAAATGAGGAAAGTTTCAAGATTCGGAATTTCCGTTGCTTTCATTGATAATGAGCGTAATCGCATTGAATAATTAAAGGACGTTGTACATAAGATGGAGATAAGATTTAATGTGTGATTGCTCTTGGCCGGGTTCCTACAGCCGATTACCAAACCACGGTCCGTTCATGCTTTTTTCAGTCAAGTTTTGACGCCATCACAATCACAATTTTCTCAAGCGTGATTGTCCTACATTTGGAGATGCATTTTGCAATTAGGAACTATAAAGTCTGGCTCATCCGAAAAAACACTATGTGCATAAGGAAACTAATGGTTCATACGTTGTTTTTATACTGAGTCAGAATTTATAGTTCCAAATTGCAAAATGCAGTGCATTAGATGTGAAAGTTCTGACGTCTAAACCTGGCTTATTACCTCGCTGTGTCGATAGATGCTTTTATGGATGAGCCAGATATTGTGGGTCCTTATTGTAAAATACAGTACAATGTATCGGTGGATGGAATTAAAATTTTTTGGTACTTGCGTCTTCTCACCTTCCGAATCGTGTGTCGAGTTGGACCCCCAACTCCTACTGAGGGTTAAAGTTCAGTTCCGCTGGATTGAATTCTCCAACTGTTCTTCCATCAAAAGAGACCCGTCCCTGGAACTTTTTACGTCGGTTTTCTGCAAACTGATTGTATACGTAAATGAGGCTATTGAAACGGGACTAGACGAGTTTCATAGGGATTTATCTCTGTGCAGTCTAGCGCAGTCAAGATCGTTAAAAGAATCGAAGAATCATCTCCGAGGTCCTATTTAGCGTCAGTTCATTAAATTATGTCGAATTTATCAGCCCCGAAAGTTTATTTTTTTACGTACGATTTTCAAACTTAGACCGGACTGGCATCTCAAGTGTTCCGAGTTTTTTAAGAGAAGAACAAGGAATTAAATAATCTTCGGCCAAAATTTGATTTTTTTATCTTTGGTTTATTTTCCTTGACTGATTTCTATCGTGCCTCCACTGTCTTGAAGTATATTCACACCGTTGAATGTCATTTTATCCTCGACCTTAATTTATGTTTTCCTTAACCGCTAATGTTTAGATTTGGGTATGAATTCTGTAACCGACTCAGAATTTTATGTCAAAGAAGCAAAAGACATGGTTAATCTAGTGCAAAGGTTAATCGCAGATGGTAAGTTTTGTTTTTTGCATTTACTTTCCTCTCATTTTTGATCAACGTTGTAAGACTAACTTTTCCACTTACTCTTCAGGAAAAAACAAATCGATTAATCCAAAAAACAGTTTAATTAATCCGTAAAGCAATTGAACCATTAAAGTACAGTTAAAGTGGTAACAGTACAATCAGTAACGTAGCTAGGGAGAAAAAGGGTTCGTTTCAGACTCGCTTCCCATGACCGATATTTCCCACCCAAAGACGTCATTTTTCGTGAATTGTAGTAAACCGAATCCATACTAAAATACATGAGTATAAATGGGTAATGACTTCACAAGGTGGTACATTTTCTCAATTTTAATTATATTTTTCCACAATTTCCCGTATCAGAAAGAAATGATGAAAAATACTGCAAAATCAACCCCCTAAGCAATCACTTTCAGATGCATCAATAAGACTGTTTCGTACGAATTCTCCATCACCGACGTCTCCGTACTCTCCCCATGTACACTAGGGTGGCCCTTATTTTCGACTTTTCGGAAATTTAAAGTGCGGAACCCTGCAAATGGTTCCTTTTGGTGAGGAAATAACGGGGCAAAAATGAAAATGAAGAAAAAAAATTTTTAAATGGCGCCTCAAAGAGCCTAAAGTTGCGAGCGTGGCGTGCGAAGTCGCGTTTTTCCGTCATTTCGCGAATTTTTTTCTCCCCTTTTTAATGTTGCTACGGCTTTGAAATTTTCTAAAATGGCACATTATTTAGTGTACTTTACGAGAAAAATCACAAAATTTACCACGCCACTTTTAAAATGCCCCCTCTCTCCCTCCAAAGTGGCCCCATCGTGCGATTTTCCCTAACAATCTCCCCGCACGATGTGTCTTTTTTTCTACCTTTGAATTGTTCCCACGGCTTTGAAATATTCTGAAGTAGCACATTCTTTAGAGTTCTTTACGAGAAAAATAACAAAATTTACCGCGCCACTTTTAAAATGCCCCCTTTCCCCCTCCAAAGTTGCCTCATCGTGCGATTTCGTCGATTGTTCGTAACATTCTCCCAGCACGGTTTGCCGGAACGAGTTTAAATTTTTTGAAGAGTCAATAGCAAAAATTCTTCAGATTCTAGAAGTAGAGTGTCTACCGAGTCATCTAAGCCAAAAAGAAAACGATTCTGTTCAGCTGCTGGAAAACAAAACTGGTAAAAAAATACCTCTTGGTTCAAGACAATCCGGCAACAAGAAACTGCACCGTTTCTTGTCGCCGGATTTAAGAGTCTGGACTCTTGTTTCAATGCAAAATCCGCATGAATCAATGCAATATCCGCTTGAAACAAGAATTCAAGACTCTTAAATCCGGCGACAAGAAACTGCACTCTTAAGTCAATGCAATGCGGCATTGGTTCAAGAGGTTTTTTTTTCACCAGTTAAAGTCGATTTAAAGGTATATCGGGGCTGACATAGGAAAATTACCGGTGTAAAGTTCCGTTCTATTATTGAAAAGAAACGTCCTTCATACTTAAAATGCCTGAAGGTTTCTCAGATATTGTTGTTTAAAGTACTCGAATAGTAATACCACCAACTTCAGGCATATCGTAAATTTTGGTGGCCTAAAACTACCCCTCAGAGCTGAAGAGTGCTTAAATTTTAATTCCATGAAGCTCTCCAAAAAATGACCGGTTTTTTGGGCAGTCAATTAGGCCGCCGAACGGAGTTTGAAATGGAAGCTTAAAATGACCTTAAGCTCACAGAAAAATTTCAAGATGAGCGTAGGAACGGTTTCCGAGTTACCGGGTTACGATTTTTCTGATCTCATACGGATTACTATCTCTTACGTAAATCGATGATAGCGAATTTGAATCCCGGAAAACCACCGATTTTTAGTGTAAAATCGATATAACGAATCAAAACATCGACTCCTTGACATAGAATTTCAATTATACGTGTTAAAATAATGAAGTATCGATATGTTGAACACATTTGCAAAACGATGAGAAGCCCATGGCAGCATCATTTTAACAAGATAACAGCAAATATTAGATTGGATTTTTGTCCCATTGGCCCCCCTGCCCCCCCCCCCAAGTAACCCGATAACTCGAAAACTGTTCCTTGTCTCCGTCCTTACCTTATCTTAAAATTTTTCTGTGAGCTTTAGGTCATTTTAAGCTTCCATTTCAAACTCCGTTCGGCGGCCTAATTGACTGCCCAAAAAACCGGTCATTTTTTGGAGAGCTTCATGGAATTAAAATCTTCAGCTCTGGGGGGTAGTTTTAGGCCACCAACATTTACGATATGCCTGAAGTTGGTGGTATTAGTGTTCGAGTACTTTAAACAACAATATCTGAGAAACCTTCAGGCATTTTAAGTATGAAGGACGTTTCTTTTCAATAATAGAACGGAACTTTACACCGGTAATTTTCCTATGTCAGCCCCGATATACCTTTAAATCGACTTTGTTTTCCAGCAGCTGAACAGAATCGTTTTCTTTTTGGCTTAGATGACTCTGTAGACACTCTACTTCTAGAATCTGAAGAATTTTTGCTATTGACTCTTCAAAAAAATTAAACTCGTTCCGGCAAACCGTGCTGGGAGAATGTTACGAACAGTCGACGAAATCGCACGATGTGGCAACTTTGGAGGGGGAAAGGGGGCATTTTAAAAGTGGCGCGGTAAATTTTGTGATTTTTCTCGTAAAGTACACTAAATAATGTGCCATTTTAGAAAATTTCAAAGCCGTAGCAACATTTAAAAGGGGAGAAAAAAATTCGCGAAATGACGGAAAAACGCGACTTCGCACGCCACGCTCGCAACTTTAGGCTCTTTGAGGCGCCATTTAAAATTTTTTTTTCTTCATTTTCATTTTTTCCCCGTTATTTCCTCACCAAAAGGAACCATTTGCAGGGTTCCGCACTTTAAATTTCCGAAAAGTCGAAAATAAGGGCCACCCTAATGTACACGGAGAAAAAAACTTCGTGCGTGGGACCCGAAGTTTAGGTCATATGGATCTCTGAAGTTTTCGGATTGAGCATCTGAAAACGTTAGGTCCAGCTGCTGAGGTTTGGATCACGCATCTGAAACTTCAGTTCTTACATCTGAAGTACTTCGGTTTTCACATCTGAAAAACTTCGGTTCTCACATCTGAAGTACTTCAGATGTAAAAACTGAAGTTTCAGATGTGTGATCCGAACCTCGACAGCCAGACCTACAGTGTTCAGATGCTCAATCCGAAAACTTCAGAGATCCATATGACCTAAACTTCGGGTCCCACGCACGAGGTTTTTTTCTCCGTGTAGGTACTCCAATTCGATCTATTCGTCGGGGGCGAATACCTTTCTTTTCTAACCTCGGTTGGCGTCCGCCCTGAATGCAAGCGAGTCGCGAACTTTTCGTCGTGGCGTAGATGGGACCGAAGTAGAGCAGGATCCGATGGAATGATGAGCTCGGCCTCAAGAAATCGGACACCGGAGACCGGACGCGGGACCGAATCGGGCATCGCATCCGACTCCGCAATCGAATCGCCCAGCTCATCGTCATCGCGGCTAGATTTTTCAACCGTGAGACGCTCATCGTCGTCCATCGCCATTTTGACCGTCGTCCGCTCCCAGTTGAATTCATCGCCAATCCAGGTATGAGGGGTGCAGAGAAGTGGTCGAATGCGCGAAACGAGGGGTGCATCAATATTTGGACTACAATTTTCAATGGAGATGTTGCATGTGTGAGGAATTTGCGATTTGACCATTGATTCTTTTGTAAAAGTTCGCGAGAAACACGATGGTGCCACTGGTTTTCTCTGAAATCAACTCCCAAGCTCAAAAAAAGCTCTCAAGTTGAGGCCAAAATGGAGGGGATATCCCACGCTATCCTGAGAGTCCACCTCTACATCAAGACAAACTCTCTATGCAAAGATAGGGAGCGAATACATTGACAGGGCTGCCACTTTATTCGGGGACTCTAAAATTGAAAACACGGCATCACTGCTAATGTATATGCTCCCTATCTTTGCATGGAGAGTTTGTCTTGATGTAGAGGTGGACTCTCAGGGTAGCGTGGGATATCCCTTCCATTTTGGCCTCAACTTGAGAGCTTTTTATGAGCTTGGGAGTTGATTTCAGAGAAAACCAGTGGCACCATCGTGTTTCTCGCGAACTTTTACATAAGAATCAAAAGTTAAATCGCAAATCCCTCACACATGCAACATCTCCATTGGGAACTAACATTTCTGGCTCATCCGTAAAAATATCACTTGTGTGCTTGGAAATACTGATAGTACACGTCTCTGAACTTAGCCTGAAAGTGTAGTTCAGGGTTGCCACAGTCAGGGAATACCGAGAAATGTTAGGGAATACCGGGAAATGTCAGGGGATTTTAAAAAGTCAGGGAAAACCTGGAAATGTTAGGGAAAATGACGCAAATGTCAGGAAAAAATCGTCAAATCACCTTCATTCGCTTTCTCGAGTGGGTTTGACGTTTCGAACAATACATTTTACCTAAAAACTGTTTCTATCTATGTCTCTTTAAAAATCTGGCATTTGTTCAACTTTCAGGGAATTTCACAAAAATTTGACTGGGAAATGTCGGGGAATTTAACTGTCTAAATTCTGTGGAAACCCTAAAATTTCTGGCTTAACCGTGAAAACACTCACATCCATGTAGAAAAACTAATAGTACATGTCTCTAAACTTACAATTAGCCCGAAATTGCAGTTTCTAATCGCAAAAGATCCAAATTTGATGTTGCCTGTGATAATTTTCTTGGGAGGAGACACTTGCATCCCTTCGACGCATTATAGCGACGCGTATGCTTTTGCGTCGCTCGGGAGGAAATGTCAAAATGTGCCCTCATTTGGTATTTTAATGTCTCTGCGTTGGTACTTCCGCCTTCGGTCCCGTCGCCTCGGTCCAAACGGATTATTAAGACGGAGGATGAGCTAGCCTGACGTCTATCGATTTTTTTTGTCTTTCCCGTCGCTCCGCTTACATAGTCATTTCACTGCATTCTCTATCGCGGTCGTGATTTTCCCGACAAGTT